GGGACGAATGGAGGAGGAAGTCAAGCACCTTATCTTCCCCGATCGAAGAAGGGGCACATTTCGAAGTTCTCACTCTTGGGATCCCAAGGGACCCAGCGGACTTCATAAAAGACGCTCACGAAATTGGGCATCCAAGGCGGGCCTTCGCTCGAGTTCCTGCATTGATGAGGGAAGTCCTGGAGGAAGTCTTCCTTGGTGACCCGTTTGAGATCAAGTCCAAGCGCGCCAGCTTCTTGAAAAAATGGATGAAAAGAGCTGTCCAACTCAGAGCAGAAGAGCAGCAACTCCATGCCGGTCTCCCTCCGCACCTTCAACCCCTGCTCAAAGACAAAAAGCTACTGTTGTGGAAAGAGATTCTGCTGGACCTTCAGTACCCCGACTCGAAGATCGTTGATGAAGTATGTCAGGGTTTCCCCTTGACGGGGTGGGCCCAGTCTTCGGGCGTTTTCCAGACTAGGGTGAAGCCACCAGACTCTTCCATGGAACAACTTGAAGGGATGGCGAAGGGGCTCAACATGGCAGTTGTGGCCTCCCTTGAATCATCGGAATGGATGCCAGTTGACCAGGTCGCGTGGGATGAAACAATGCAAGAGGTAGCAAATGGATGGTTGGTTGAAGAACCGCACCCTGACCTTGGCAAACAATTCATAGCGAAGAGGTTCCCAATTCAACAGAAAGAGAAAACACGTCTCATCGACGACTTCTCGATCTGCGGAGTAAACTCTGCCTTTGGTATGTCAGAGAAGCTGAGGGTTGACGCCATAGATGAAATACTGGCAGGCATCTCCGTCCTACTTGACTCCCAGAGTTTCGTAAACAAAGGCAAAGGACTTTTGGGAAGGACATTTGATTTGAAATCGGCCTACAAACAATTTGGAGTAGATGTGCCACATTCGGAGAAGCTCAGAATCGCTGTGAAGAAACTTGGTGGAGGAGTTGCATTTTTCAAAGTTTTGGCGTTACCCTTCGGAGCCACTGGCAGTGTTTCGGCTTTTCTCAGGATTTCATCTGCAATTGCGTTCATAGGCTCGAAGGGTCTTTGCATTCCATGGTCAGTATTTTTTGACGACTACACTGCCCTCTCGCCGACAGGCCTCGAGCTTGACACCACATTTTATGCAGAAGCTTTGTTCAAGCTACTGGGCATAAACTTTGCCTCGGAAGGATCAAAAGCACCCCCGTTCTCGGACTGCTTCAAGACTTTGGGACTGGTGGTCAACACAGAGAACGTGGGGAACCGAGAGGTCAAAGTTGGACACACGGAGGAGAGGTCGAAGGAACTTCTCGAATGCATTGACGAAATCCTGCGCCACAACTCCGTGGGGACCAAGACTCTTGAAAGGTTGCATGGCAGGATAGTCTGGTTTCGCACCTTTGTTTTTGGGAGAAGACTGAACGCGGCCACCAGGGTCCTGTCATGGCACTCGAGAAAGACGGGTCCGTCGATCCGCGTTGACGATCAGCTGAGATCGGCATTGGGAACATTGAGGAATCACCTGGTGTCGAGCAGACATGTTTCCATAAACCGTGATATCAATGAGACGTGGATAATTTTTACGGACGGCGCTTTTGAGCCCACCAACACACAACCTGCTTCAATAGGTGGAATCCTAGTGAACCCAAGTGGGAAAGTCGTTTCGTTCTTCGGTGCATACCTCCCGCAGCCTCTCCTTGAAGAATTCTTGGCGAAATCGAACCATCCAATATATGAACTGGAGATCCTTCCTTTGCTGGTTGCTGTCATAAGATATGGTCAACGAATATAGTAGGCAAGCTTGTGGTTCACTATTTGGATAACGATGCAGCAAGATCTGCTTTCGTTCGTGCCCATGCCTCGACCGACCTTGGAGCAGCCTTGATTGCTGAATATGTCGAATTTGAATACAAATGCCGTTTTTCTCCATGGTTCGCAAGAGTTGCAAGCCATAGCAACCCGTCGGATGAACCTTCAAGGATGAACTTCGAAGCACCCTGGCTTAGGCAAGCAAGCAAAGTCGAATTGGTCCTGCCAGAGCACTTGTCGCAGTGGGGAATCATCGGGTGCTCTGACACTTAGCATCAAATCACTTTGTGTCAACGTTTGACAATGATGGAATCATGACCCATCCAACGCACCAAACATAAGCTCAGCTGGAACCATGACCGGCTTTGGATTTGACCCCCGACAGTGCAATTACTGGAATCAAAAAGGAAATCAATAATAAGTCCGAGTGTGGTGCACTTGCTTTGTCCTTTTTGGAGCGTCGGCGACTGCGATTTTTTTTTGTAGTAAGGTTTATTTTTGTAAATATTATATTTACATAAATTTCACTTACCTTACATCACAACGATATGCCATATAATTTAATATATAATTATATGGATATCAACTTAACATTTGAAACTTCCACCACCAGTGTTGGATTAGTCTCAATTGATCCTGGTTTTGTGGAGAAATAAGATGTCACTCTTTTGGAAAAAGATGAAAGCCTTATTTCTCCAAACAAAAATTTGTGAAGTCTCACAAATAAGGATCAACAAGAATCCTCCCTGTTTGGTGGTGAACAAACATTTGTTAAAGGTTGAAACATCCAACCAAACATGGTGACGCAAACAATTTGGCGTTCTATTCCCATTTTCAATTTCTAATTTTCGATGTGGCATTCAATAATTCCATTGGAAACAAACCACATCCTTTGCACGTCACATCATCAATTGTAATGCTGTGGCTTTTCCCAATCAAGTGGTGGGAGGGCGGGAGTCCCTTTTAAATAAGGGCAATTTTTTGTCACCCACCCCGTTACTCACTCCCACCCAAAAATTGGGGAATCATCGGGTGCTCTGACACTTAGCATCAAATCACTTTGTGTCAACGTTTGACAATGATGGAATCATGGCCCATCCAACGCACCAAACATAAGCTCAGCTGGAACCATGACCGGCTTTGGATTTGACCCCCGACAGTGCAATTACTGGAATCAAAAAGGAAATCAATAATAAGTCCGACTGTGGTGCACTTGCTTTGTCCTTTTTGGAGCGTCGGCGACTGCGATTTTTTTGTAGTAAGGTTTATTTATGTAAATATTATATTTACATAAATTTCACTTACCTTACATCACAACGATATGCCATATAATTTAATATATAATTATATGGATATCAACTTAACATTTGAAACTTCCACCACCAGTGTTGGATTAGTCTCAATTGATCCTGGTTTTGTGGAGAAATAATTATTTATCTTTATTGGTATATTGTCTTGTTTGATGATTTAAGGCACAGTAAGGGTATCACAGAAACCGTTTCAAACCGTTTCCCGCTACTTGCTAGGTAATAGTCCGAAACCGTCCGAAACCGTTTCCTACTATTTGCTAATTCACCCTGGCAAAAACTGCAAATAGTTTCAAATAGTTTCAAATAGTTTCAAATAGTTTCTGAGAGTGGCTAATTAGCAAATAGTCCGAAACCGTTTCAAACCGTTTCCCGCTACTTGCTAGGTAATAGTCCGAAACCGTTTCAAACCGTTGTATTTTTTTGGATATTTTTCAAAAGTTTCCAAAACTTCGATTTATTTAGGAAATAGTTTCTGCAAATTGGGTTGATTTAAGGAAATAATTTCTGTAAATTGGGTTGATTTAAGAAATAGTTTCTGTAAATTGGGTTTATGTTTCCCAACTTAGGGTTGATTTAGGAAATAGTTTCTGTAAATTGGGTTTATTTAAGAAATAGTTTCTGGCCTCCACAGACAAAGAGGCCAAGGCACCCCCCAATATATATATATATATACATACGTACGTACGTACATACATACATACATAGATAATTACAATACTTTTCATATTTTTCACGAAAACTAGCGGTAACTAGCTGGAGTTAGTCTTGCTTCAGCAAGGGGAGGGGCAGGTCTGAGTCCAACACAGTGATTTTTCACTCGAAACCCCCCTTCCCCCGCAAAGCTCCCGGGGCATTTTGAAGCGGTTTTGGAAGCAGATGGTCACGGGCTCAAATACTGCCAGGTCTCTAGGCAATCTGTATTCAGCATATCAAGATCCCAACAAAATCCCATCATGTTTTCAAGCTCGTATGAACCTTAGCTTTCGTTCACCCCCACTTGGGCCCCAAGTCATACTTTCATACTTTTCACACACACACACATATATATATATATATATTGTAGCGGTCAAACATGATTGCGACTTATCAACGCATTCAAGATGTGGATGCACATCAGCTGCTTGGTTCAAACGGTCATTTGGGATGCTTGCTTTACATGTTGCAATTATGTCAATCCACTTCCATGTCACCTCATTCCATCACTTGCCAAAATGTTTACAGATGTTTTCTTTGTGTGATTTTCAAACTGCCCCACCCTCTGCCACCCTGGCAGTTTGGGTTCCAATGCCTTCGCTGGCCCATCCAGCGTCGTATATGCCTTCGCTTGCCAATCAAGCGTCGTACTAATCCAATCCTTGGTCGAAGCCTCGTCTATCATTAGACGATGTATTGCGAAGCCAGCCCCTCAGCCTGAACAACAGGCCTTCGTGCAACCCCAGCGGTAAAAAGTGTGGACGCCGTCACTGAGTCAGTGCTTTGCAATTCCAATCGCAGTGATGTCAGCAATGAGAATAACTGACTCTTGTGACCCGCAGTCACATTGGTTCTGCAGCGGTTGAACAGTTGATAATGTAGCGGTCAAACATGATTGCGACTTATCAACGCATTCAAGATGTGGATGCACATCAGCTGCTTGGTTCAAACGGTCATTTGGGATGCTTGCTTTACATGTTGCAATTATGTCAATCCACTTCCATGTCACCTCATTCCATCACTTGCCAAAATGTTTACAGATGTTTTTCTTTGTGATTTTCAAACTGCATGGGGGCGTATCCCGCGGCGCGCAATGGACGATGTGCCAAGCCTCAAAGGTCTCAGACTGAAATGGAGGAAGACTGGTGTTTCAACTTCATCAGCTGTTGATGTTGCACATCAAAACTGTGATAACGATGTCATAGTAGTCTCCAATGAACCTGACGCTGGACCATCGAGTGCTGATCCTTTCAGAGCTTCGTTGGAAGCAAACTCCGGCCTGGACCTTGGCTTTGATGCTGAATCATGTCATGGTGGTGCATCTTCACTTTATGAACCTTCTAGTGATTTCCTGGAACGATGCAATGACAGTGCAGTCTGCGATCTCAGACCAGTTCATCAAAGGTGCACGGCTGACAACCCTAACTATGCCTTGGGAAACTCCGCTGATGAGACAAATTTTTGGGGAGGACCCACAAGGCGCACGTTTATCCATGCCTTTGGACTGGGGTGACTCAGCTGTGCCGACCGTGGGCTCCACTGGATCTGGCATTGAACATCCGGCCATCCCCTCAGTGAGCTGTCAGCAGAGTTTTCAATTCATTAGACATACACCTGATGCGACGTACATTCAACAGCGTGACAAGACATTGCAGAGCGCATTGCAGAAGTGGCGCTTCCTGGTTATGTTGGAGCCTGAAGCATCAGATGTAGGGAAACAACTAGTTGGAAAAGATGAACAAGAGACTGAACTAGTGTTGCTGTACGGTCGATGCCGAGTTTCAGATGTAAACTACATCCATGAGATCCTTCACGATGTCAGTGGTTCCACTGGGTTCTTGGAGGTGACGACGAGGTACCACAAGTCGGCGTGTACTGCTCAACAGAAAGCACTGTTGATGCCGATTTTGGTTGGGAGCGTTGGTGTGACAGCTTTCCCATGGATACAGGCATGGATCAGCAATCGCAAGGCATGTGGCTTGCCAACGTCAGGGATTGTCGATGGAGCCCTGATGCCGGCACCTCTGATGGGCGACTCAGTCCAATGGTTGAAACGGCCGTTGGCCCCTGGGGAAATTTCAGGAATCTTGAAGAATTTTCTGAAGAGCTCTGACGAGAACCTCACGAGCCATAGCCTCAAGGCAACGGCCCTCAGCTGGGCCGCAAAAGCTGAAGTACCACGGGAGCAAAGAAGAGTATTAGGAAGGCATGCAGCAGCAGTTCAGGGGTCAGACACTTTTTACAGTCGTGACCTTTGTGTGGGACCGGTGAACTCCTTGCAAAAGGTGGTGGCTATGATACGTGATCGAATTTTCAACCCGGATGCGAGTCGATCCAACTACTTTGCTGGGTCGGCACATCTGCCAGGCCCATGTCGTGATGCAGCCTTTCACTCCTGCATACTTGAACAAGTCACAGCCGGCTACACCATGTGCTGCACCGGCAACACCAGCTGCACGTGGATTGGGTGCACAACAGACAGACGTGCTGCATGCCGATGCCTCAGTTGAAGTCAAGGAAGAGCCATCTTGGGTCTTACCGAGGAGTGATGTTGAGAGACGAGTCATTGAGATTTCATCAGACTCGAGTGGTGAGAGTTCTGAAAGCGTCACATGTTGTGATACATCAAGTGTTGCAGACACGGTTGACCTGGAGGAAGATGACCGTCACGAGCTGCAGGTTGAACCCAGTGACATGGGACGAAAGGCGCAGACCTTAGCAATGAATACCAAGACAAAAATCATTCATGAGTGTCGCAGCAGTAGTGACATGCAAATATGTGAGCAGAGCTATTTCGAAGAGCTTATGCTGGGTTCTTTGACGTCCTGTGGGCGTGAGCTGACAAAGACCTATAAGCTGGTGCTGGGGCCCCATGACTGGACTGCAAAATGCAGAATTTGTTTCAAAGGCAGACGTGCGCCTTAGGTGCGTCTTGCGTGTCACTGTGCATCACTACATGTCATGTTTTCTTGATCACTGGCTGTTGGGAAAATGATTTGCAGAGGCCTGCTTCTCAGTCAGTTTCATGTGTCATTCAAACTTTTGCGCAATGATGTGTTGGCATGTGCCACTTTGATTTTCAATGTTTGTATGCTCGACGTATTTTCCGAAGTGAAACTGTCGTTTCCCCAGCATCAGTGCAATGTGCATCAATCTTGATTTGTACATTTCATGTTTGATTTTTCTTATCTTTGGACCAAGGACGATGTGTCCTGATGTCGTTGTTGAGATTTGAGATTGAACACAAATGTGTGGCACCAATGTGGTGAAGAACTCCAATGTGGGGGCAACTCATGCGATGTGCATGGAATCACAATGTGTGTTCCGCGGCAATGTGCTGAAAGGTGACTGAATGCATTTCGTCAGAACTGCCCCATTTTCATGTCATGTCAGTGACACTCATCATTCCACTGTGCGTGGCAGCTTTTTGAGACCTCTCATTGTTTTCGGCGTTGAATCTTTTTCGCGTTGCGAGTGTTTCAGTTGTGATGCAAATTTTTCACGACATAACTTAAGCTTTTGTTTGCGCGACCACGTGAAGAGCCATGACTTCAATCGTGGATTCAACTGCTCATTTGGAAAAGCGGTGTTCAGATATGGGAATGTCGGCACGTGGCATCCAACAACTGTTGCAAGGGAACTTGGACACGATGGGAAAGATAGCGTTTGCAGTCGGCCAACCAGGCCACCCACTGGACCAAGGGGAATTCACACAGTTCGCACAGAACACCCTTGGAGCTATGATAAGTCAAGCAGACACTGCAGTGTTGAAAAGGCTGGTGTTCGAAGGACACACGAGGGTGCTTGGGCACCTGAGAGAGTTGTTTACAGATCCAAATGCAGCAGCGAGCAGAAAGCTTCCAGCCGTGGAGCGGGAGCATAGGATGGCGCAGTTGAAACAGCGTCTACAAGGAGTCATCGTCGAGCGGCAGCTTGAGCCCTCTCACGAGCTTTTGGAGGCGATGATGCAGCAGAAGGAAGAAAATCAATTGTGCTACGTTCAGCTTGAGCGAATGACATCAAGGGAATGGGAGATCACGATGGGCAAGACCAAGAAACAAATCTCCCTGGACACTGAAAAGCTTGTGGTAAAGGAGAAATCAGATATTCCTGATCAATTCCATTCAAGTGAGCTTCAGGCCTTCGAAGCACTGAGGCGACGTGGTGTGGCCATGGACTTTGCAGACATCCTGTCATGGGAGTCCCATGAACGGTATCTGCAACAGCTGACAAGTCATCTCAGAATGGACCCGCCTCAGAATTACAGCAGGCCAACTTTGCAGCAGATCCTCAAAGCAGATCGTCAGGTCTTCTTGTACATGATCCGAGTTGGAGTCCAACTAAAGAGGCTGCCAAACAACACACTGGACATGGATACAAAGTTGTTTGAAGCACTTCAGTCGTATGAAGTTGGATTCCACCTTTTGCCATTGCCTAAGAGTACTGGCCGTGCAGATCCTCCGCAACAAGGATACCAAGGGAGTGGAGCACCATCTGGAGCAAAAGGCAATGCATGGCAACAGCGCTCTCATCCCTACAAAGGCAAGGGGCATCAAGGCGGTGGCAAAGGAAAGAACAACGCTCGGTCGTCCTGTAAACGCGCGCTTCATTAAGCGCTTTTCCCATAGGCATAGCGTGTGTCTGTGCATTTTTTACCACGTATATGAGGGTTTCGTGGTGTTAGTTTTGGGAGGCGTGTCCACTCCTTTTTTTCATGGGAGCCAAGCGTTGTCTTTCTCAATTTGAATACCCACCCCACCCCACCCCACCCCATCCATCAACGTAGCACTGCGTAACGATGTCAGCGTGCACGAACATTACATCAACATCGCAGTGCGTTGTGCATCACGCGTAACATGAACGTTATCATCCCACCCCACCCCACCCCATCCATCAACGTAGCACTGCGTAACGATGTCAGCGTGCACGAACATTACATCAACATCGCAGTGCGTTGTGCATCACGCGTAACATGAACGTTATCATCCCACCCCACCCCACCCCACCCATCAACGTAGCACTGCGTACCGATGTCAGCGTGCACGAACATTACATCAACATCGCAGTGCGTTGTGCATCACGCGTAACATGAACGTTATCATCCCACCCCACCCCACCCCATCCATCAACGTAGCACTGCGTAACGATGTCAGCGTGCACGAACATTACATCAACATCGCAGTGCGTTGTGCATCACGCGTAACATGAACGTTATCATCCCACCCCACCCCACCCCACGAAACCGTGATATACGTGGTAAAAAATGCACAAAAACACGGTGTGCCTATGGGAAAAGCGCATAAGAAAGTGCGCGTTTACAGGTCGACCGAGCCAAGAACAAAGGTGGGAAAGGAGTCCTTCCCAAATTCCTTTTGGGCCGTGACAATACAAACATGGACATGCATGGTCGTCGCCTTTGCTTCAATTTTCAGGATGGCAAATGCACTGATGCAGCGGATGGAGCTGAATGCACAAAGGGATGGCATTTGTGCTGTCGCAAAGGATGCTTCGCACCGCATCCTGAGAAAGACCATGACAAGAAGAAGTGACGCCAGAGCCGCATCAGCAGATTAGCAGACGCTGGTGCGGACATATCACAATGCATGATTGTTGAGATCTTTGCAGGGACGGCCAGGGTAACAGCTGAGCTACGTAAGATAGGAATGCCCAGTGCATTTGGCACGGACCACATTCGTCATAAGCAAGCTGCTGCGCAGGTGGTTGTTGCAGACCTCTCGACAGAGGAAGGTGTCAGCTTGCTAATGCAATGGCTGGCCGATGAACATGTTGTGGGCCTGTTTATAGCGCCCCCCTGCGGTTCGGCCTCAAGAGCGCGGTCGATTCCGCTCAAAAGGAAATCGCCTGGTGACCCTAGGCCACTCAGGTCTGATAAGCATCCAAACGGATTGCCCAATTTGCTGTTCGTCGATCGTATTAAAGTCTCCAAGGCGAACAAGTTGTATCACCTGACAGCCCGCCTTGTCCAATGGGCCACAGAGCAGGGCTGCTTGTTTTGCGTTGAAAATCCACAATTCAGTTATTTTTGGCAAACAACTTTCATTCAATCGATCATCCACTTGATGCAATTTACAACTTTTCAATCATGTATGTACGGGAGCATGCGCCCAAAGCGCACCATGTTGGGCCATAATGCAGTTGAGTTTAATATCATCAACAGAATGTGCGTTGGCGAGTCGCCTGAGCACAAGCACGAAAAATGGGGTATTCACGCCCCATCTCAGAGATTTGCCACAGCGCTGGAGACAGCATATCCAACCATCCTAGCCAGAACAATAGCAGCTCAGTTTGCAGTAGCCTTGCAAAATCGTGGGATCAGCTTATCGCCTGACACATGGCACTTGGTTGGGGAACTGCATACGTCAAACCTGTCAGCCCTCAGAGCTCAGGCTGGAGTCCAGCCAAAAGCCAGTAGACTTCCCCCATTAATACCCACGTTTTCTGCAAAAATTGCTTTGTCAGGTTTTCAGCAAGACTTGCCAGCCCTTCATATCAACTGAAAAATTCCGGCAGAGCTGCATGTTAAATGCAGCAACCATTTTACCCAAAGGGTCAAAATTGTTGCAAATTATGCCATCTCTGCTGCCTCCTTCTTGTTTGAAAGGGGGGTGTCTTGTCTCGGAGCAGCATGTATGTAGCGATGACGTGAATCGTTTTGTGTCAGCATATAAAGATAAAGGTCATGAAAAGCATGGAAACTGTGAGACCCAAACTTGGGGTATACCCTGGACAGAAGAGCAGTTCGTCGAACAGATGGTGAAGTTTGGACACCCCACAAATGTCTCGGCAGGATTGCCAGAAGTTCTGCAGTCCACTATTGGTTTCTATAGGGATACGTCTGGTTGCATTCAAACAGCAGGAATGTGAGCTGAAAGCCTCAATGGATGGTGAAGTTGCTCAGATCCTACGTGACAAAAACATCCATCCTCCTTTGGCAGGAGATGCTTGCTTCAGTTGAATATCCCGACATGGATGTGGTTGAAGAGATGAAGAGCGATACAGATTTAGTCGGCCCCGCTCCAAGGACGGGTTTGTGGCCCCAGAAGTTCCAACCATCGTTGGTGACGTTGGAAGAGCTGGGTGATCTTGCAGTGCGAGATCGAGCGGGGCTTCAACAACAGTTTTCGAGCGTTTCTGGTGCAGATCATATCAATGAGGTTTGGGAAAAGACTATGGACGAGGTTAGAGCTGGCCTGTTGGAAGGTCCTATTGACCTCGCTGATGTTCCAACTAACTACCCACTGAGCCGTCGTTTCGGCATTCAGCAAGGCAACAAGGTGAGGTGCATTGACGACTTTTCAAGGTCAGCCGTAAACAGTGCAGCCCAAACGTGTGAGAGCCCTAAACCTCACACCGTGGATGTCTTTGCAGCCATGTGCGTAAATCTGATGGGGGCAATCTCGGACGATACACCCTGGGTTGGTAGGACGTTCGATTTGACTGGAGCATACAGACAATGTGCAATCAATCCAAACTCAAAGCGTTTCTCTTACATTGTCGCCCAAAGGCCTTCCTCCCTTGAGCTTGCGTGTTTCAGAATGAAGGCGTTGCCGTTCGGCGCAGTGCGCTCAGTTCATGGCTTCCTTCGTGTGGCGCATAGCCTTTGGTACCTGCTGACATGTGAGTTCAAAGTTTTTCTCACAAACTACTTCGACGATTTCGTTTCTGTGGCGCCTGAGTGCGAAAGTGGCGCCATCACTTCTTGCGTCAATATGTTTTTCAAATTACTTGGGTGGGCTTTTTCAGAGTCTGTGGACGAAGCCCCCCCTTTCAGCAGTCTTTTTCAGGCGCTTGGTGTCACCTTAAATGTTTCGGCACTACACCTTGGAATGGTTCAACTTGGGAACACTGAAAGCAGGAGCAAAAAAATTATCGAATTCCTAGACCTGGTCCTGAGCAGAGGACGAATGACAAAACAAGAGGCGCTTCGCTTGAGAGGCAGGCTTCAATTCACATCTGGCAATGTTTTTGGCCGAGTGCTCTTTGTCGGCGATTACCAACCATGCCTACCTGCAGCGGGGCACGACTTTGTCACAGGATGCACTGGTAGCCATTAGGCTGCACCGACATTTGCTTGATGATGGGCGCCCCAGAGAGCTGAAGCCAGCGAGCTGTGAACCTTGGTTCATTCAAACGGATGCTTCATATGATGAGGTTGCAGGTACAGTTGATGCCGGAATAGGAGCGGTTTTATTTAATCCCCAAGGTAAACCCGATTCTTATTTCTCGAAAAAATTGCCTGTAGAGTTAATTGGAAAACTTAACGAATCAGCTAAGCAGAACGCCATTTTTGAGTGTGAGTTCTTCGCTCTTTTCTGTGCATTCTTGGTATGGGGCGAGAGGATTACGAATGCAGTTGTCATCTTCACAGATAACAATGGTGTTCGTGATTCCCTCATTTCTTGCAGTTCTAGAAATGCCACTGCCAAGAAACTCCTAGTGGCAACCATGGCCCTTGAATGTAAACTTCAACTTACGCCCTGGTACGCCAGAGTACCAACCGACTCCAACATGGCCGATGGGCCATCCAGATACCGCTGCCAGAAAGTCATAGACCTAGGTGCCAAAGAATACCCAATAGATGTCCTTGACAGCTGGTCGCAACTCATGGCCTTATATGAAAAATGGGGGGAACAACAGGCCTTCGTGCAACCCCAGCGGTAAAAAGTGTGGACGCCGTCACTGAGTCAGTGCTTTGCAATTCCAATCACAGTGATGTCAGCAATGAGAATAACTAACTCTTGTGACTCGCAGTCACATTGGTTCTGCAGCGGTTGAACAGTTGATAATGTAGCGGTCAAACATGATTGCGACTTATCAACGCATTCAAGATGTGGATGCACATCAGCTGCTTGGTTCAAACGGTCATTTGGGATGCTTGCTTTACATGTTGCAATTATGTCAATCCACTTCCATGTCACCTCATTCCATCACTTGCCAAAATGTTTACAGATGTTTTTCTTTGTGTGATTTTCAAACTGCCCCACCCTCTGCCACCCTGGCAGTTTGGGTTCCAATGCCTTCGCTGGCCCATCCAGCGTCGTATATGCCTTCGCTTGCCAATCAAGCGTCGTACTAATCCAATCCTTGGTCGAAGCCTCGTCTATCATTAGACGATGTATTGCGAAGCCAGCCCCTCAGCCTGAACAACAGGCCTTCGTGCAACCCCAGCGGTAAAAAGTGTGGACGCCGTCACTGAGTCAGTGCTTTGCAATTCCAATCACAGTGATGTCAGCAATGAGAATAACTAACTCTTGTGACCCGCAGTCACATTGGTTCTGCAGCGGTTGAACAGTTGATGAATATATAATATAATATAATATTATATTATATTATATTATATTATATTATATTATTAATATTGCCGTGCATTCGTACACATTTTTCTTGCATTGCTGCAATTCTCGCTTCCTGCTCATTCTGGCTCAAGCTGGCCTGGAAAAACACGTTGAGAAGTGCCCCAGCATCCAATGCTGGGGAGTACATGTTTTCTACTGCTCTTGCCGGCTACTTGGCTGGATGAATTCTTGCCACACAGCTTCGCAACTTTCGTGTTTAAGAATTGCACAGGTCCACGACATCATCTGACATCATCTGGTTGAAGTAAGTTGAACTATGTTTTTCATGGACGGTTTTTTGACATGTGCAACATATTTTTGCCATCAAAACCCAAATTCCAGGGGTTTCCACAATGAAGGACGCCATGATGGGCTTGCGGCAGAATGGGCCATGATTCCACGAACGTTCAGCAAAAAGGACCAATTTGACTGTCCAAGTCACCGTCCAAAAATGGTGTTTTTTCTTGTCGGATTTGGCTTTTTGAAATTCAGCTGAATTCGGCATCTAAGGGATTGGTGGCAAGTTGGGCAACCTCGCAGCCTGGTTGCGCGTTGGGAAGTTCATCACTGGGAAAATCGGGGATTTATCAGTTTCTTATGGTATTGAAACTTGCGAAAATGAGGTTTCAAACCAGTGGATATACCTTCTGGTTATTTCAACATAACTATGGAAAACGGTCCATTTATAAATGATCTATACCAAAATGGTGTTTTTTTTCATAGCTACGTTGCGTGGGGAGGAACAGTGGCTGATGGCGACAGGGATCGAGATGATTGTAGCGACCACGGTGACACAGTCATGGATATTGATATTGATCTCAACATCGTTGATTATGATAATTTTCATTCACCTCAATATCGATCTTAGCATTATTATGGATGATATATTTATACTGGACATTAAAATAAATAATCAGTAGATCAATCATATAATGCCTATCCATATTCATGTTTTGGTTGGATTGGCACAAAGTGATGATTATTTCGGTGGTCTCGCCACAGGCAATGCGAAAGTGATCAGGTGGCACATGTTCAGAAAAATCTGAAGGTCCCGTTGATCTCGTTGTGGGTGGATGGCTTTCAGGATCATGGTCCGGACCATGATCATGATCATGTCACTGGTTTTAGGGGAAAATTGGTTAACAGGAAAGCACCAGTTTTTGAATGGTCAAAAGCCATGGGTTTCCTGTGGATTTCCCCGTAAAAACCAATCCATTGAGCCATTGATCATGATGTTGGTGCTGCAAGAATGTGATTCTTTTTCAAACGTCCATGTTTTCTTTGGGGGTTGCAATGGTCGGTACATTGTTCCATTGAGCAGGCTGTCAAGGTTGGCGCATTGGAGCAAGAGGTGCGTGGGAGAATTGGACACAAAACAGATCGAGGATTTTTGCAAGATTTAAGGTATGTATTGTTAGGAAGAATCTCTGGGGTGTGATATGGATTTAGCCGACCATTACTGTGGAGTATAGCTGCTATAGCTAGTTTAAGCCACCAAGAATTCGTTTGAAAGCAACTTTTCACACCGTTTGGGATTGAAGCACCACGAAGTGCAGAATAAAACCAGACGCTGGACAGAATCAACAAAGTTTGGACATCTCTCAAGTCGTGTTTTATAAAAACCTTTCGCAGATTCAAATGTCTTGAAGTTGAAGATACAGCGGCGAGCCGCTGATGTCAGTGAAGGTGTCTGGAAGAATTTGCAGCATTTCGGACCTCAATTCAGGCCTGAGGGCGTCGCCGATGGCTGAACCTCTTCAAATGGTTCAGATTCAATCGTCAGTTTTTCACGAATTCGTCCGTGTTTTCTTGTACCTCATTGCCATATGACCAAAGTCTAGCTGGGCACAGGTTTGTGTAACCGATCGAAATCTTAGACATGGTTTGTGGGGCGAAGTTTCACTGATCTGTGCGATTTGTTGCGAATCCTTCCACCATTTCTTGGCAAAGAACTCACAGAACCACCACAGAAATCCCGTAAGCCCCGACGGCACGGTGTCAGGTGATTGTGTCGGCACTTCTGCGAATCCAAAGTGCACAGATTGCAATCCAACAGGTGGACAAGTGATTCCGACCACTGGAACTGGATTTCCACCAGGTTCCTTGTCCTGCGGCACCTTGGTAACGTTGAGTAAGGCGGCCAAGGCGGCCAGGGCACGCTTGAAGTCTCCTGTTTTTACATCATTCGAAGTGATCATCAAAACGGCCATGCTGAAAAAGTCGTCTGAGATTCCTCACATCGCAAGCTGCCAGCGTGGCCTTTGCTGAGGAGAAGGATCTTGCCGATTTGAGGATGACGCTCCTTCCAATGCATTCTACGAGTTCCGAAACTCCACTGACTATTTGACTTGCGAAGGGGAAAATGTTGCTCGAGAAATTTGGGACCAAATTGAGCTTTCAGCACGAAAAATCACGAAAAATCACGACTCTTCAATGCAAGAATGGTTTTACAAGCACATCGTATTGCTGGACTTCTATGTGGCTTGATTATAGCACCATAGTCACTGGAGTGAGATGTTTCAGGAAGGTAAGTGGAATACCCTTCCTTTTTTGTAACTTCCCAATCAAACCACCAGAGCCGAGGCCGAGGGCAAAGAGAAATATGGCAAAATACCAAATGCCTTAGAATACTCCTGTCTATCTTCTGGGGACATGCTAGACACACCTTCCATCAAGCAAAATGTGGGGCACCAGGAGAAAGCTTCGGTGACCAGCATCGAAGGTCACAAGTGCTCCATTTTATGTGTCTACTTGTTGTGCTGGAAATTGGGTTCATTATATCTCTGACCTCCTTGTCTCTTCTCCTTCTCCAGTTTTTACATTGCATCCAAATGGCAACTTGAAGCATATGTAAGAGATCCTCATGTCATACAAAAAAAAAATACTATACTTTACTTTGTGTTATCCCCACCGTGGTATGTATATACATATATACATATTCTGACATGTATTCTGACATTCCAGGACTTCAATCATCATAGCAAGCTCGCCGAGTTTGTACATCATTCCGGACCGCGTCACCCTAGCAAGCTGGTGGAAACTCTGTGCCATCCCAGACTGTCACCGTAGCAAGCTCGCGGATTTTCTGTTGTCAGATCTCTGGGCCCCGCTGACTGCCAGAGAGAATGCCAGATAGGATGTCAGAAAATATATCAGATAAAATGTCAGATAGAATGCCAGATAAGCAGTCAGAATTTCAGAAAGAAATGCCAAATAAAATGTCAGAATATATGTCAGATAGAATGCCAGATAGAATGCCAGATAAAATATCAGATAGAATGCCAGCTAAAGTGTCAGGTAGAATGTCAGAATATGTCAGATAAAATTTCAGAAAGTATGTCAGATAAAATGTCAGATACAATGCAAGATAGCAGTCAGAATGTCAGAAAGGAATGCCAGATAAAATGTCAGAATATATGTCAGATAGAATGTCAGATAGAATGCCAGATAGAATGTCAGAGAACATGTCAGATAGAATGCCAGCTACAATGTCAGGTAGAAAGTCAGGATATATGTCAGATCGAATGTCAGAATATATGTCAGATAGGAATGCCAGATAAAATCTCAGAATATATGCCAGATTGAATGGCAGATAGAATGCCAGGTAAAATGTCAGATAGAATGAAAGGAAAGATGTCAGGTATTATGTTTGAATACATACATACATACATACATACATACACACATACATACACACATACATACACATACATACATACATACATACATACACATACATACATACATACATACACATACATACACATACATACATACACATACATACACATACATACATGCATGCATGCATGCATACATGCATACATGCATACATGCATACATGCATACATGCATACATGCATACATGCATACATGCATACATGCATACATACACATACATACACATACATACACATACATACACATACATACACATACATACACATACATACACATACATACACATACATACACATACAGACACATACATACACATACACACATACATACACATACATACACATACATACACATACATACACATACATACACATACATACACATACATACACATACATACACATACATACACATACATACACACATACATACATACATACATACACATACATACACATACATACACATACATACACATACATACACATACATACACATACATACACATACATACAGATACATACACATACATACACATACATACACATACATACACATACATACACATACATACACATACATACACATACATATACATACATATACATACATATACATACATATACATACATATACATACATTTACATACATATACATACATACATATACATACATATACATACATATACATACATATACATACATATACATACATATACATACATATACATACATATACATACATATACATACATATACATACGTATACATACGTATACATACATATACATACATATACATACATATACATACATATACATACATATACATACATATACATACATATACATACATATACATACATATACATACATATACATACATATACATACATATACATACATATACATACATATACATATACATATACATACATATACATACATATACATACATATACATACATATACATATATACATATATACATACATATACATACATATACATACATATACATACATATACATACATATACATACATATACATACACATACATACACATACATACATATACATACATATACATACATACATATACATACACATACATACATACATACATACATACATACACATGCATCCATGTCACATAGAATGTAAGAACATTTGCCAGGATATATGCCATGGTGGGGATCACAGGAAGTAAAGTACTTTGGTTGTTTTTAGTTCACCACGTACGACTTGTATCCGCAATATTGCTCGCAAGATTGCAAGGTCGAAGCCGCTTTTTCGCAACAACATGCCAAGGTTAGCATGCAACAATTGACCGCTATGAGAACACCGAGAAAGATGGGAATTTGTGAGAAAACATGAACAACAAAATGTGTTTTTCCCCCACCTGTCAGCCCGCCGGACCCGAACAGCATGCCCGGATCACAGTGGTCCCCGCCGGACCCAAACAGCAAGCCCCGGATCAGAGCGGTCCCCGACCCGAACAGCAAGCCCCGGATCAGAGTGGTCCCCGCCGGACCTGAACAGCAAGCCCCTGATCAGAGGACCCGAACAGCAAGCCCCGGATCACAGTGGTCCCCGCCGGACCCGAACAGCAAGCCCCGGATCAGAGTGGTCCCCGCAGGACCCGAACAGCAAGCTCTAGATCGCAGTGGTCCCCGCCGGACCCGAACAGCAAGCCCAAGATAGAGTCAGAATATATGTCAGATAGAATGTCAGAAAATATGTCAGATAGAATGTCAGAATATATGTCAGATAGAATGCCAAAGAGATTGTCAGAATAAATGTCAGATAGACTGTCAGAATATACGTCAGATAGAATGCGAGATAGAATGTCAGAATATATGCCAGATAGAATGCCAGAATATATGTCAGATAGAATGCCAAATAGAATATCAGAATATATGCCAGATAGAACGCCAAATAGAATGTCAGAATAAATGTCAGATAGACTGTCAGAATATATGTGAGATAGAACGCCAAATAGAATGTCAGAATAAATGTCAGATAGACTGTCAGAATATATGTGAGATAGAATGCCAAATAGAATGTCAGAAAATATGTCAGATAGAATGCCAAATAGAATGTCAGAATAGATGTCAGATAGAATGATAGGTAAAATTTCAGAAAATATGTCCAAATATATGTCTTGAAATGCCATGGTGGGGATCACTCGAAGTAAAGTAATTTTGTTTGTTGTGTTTCCTGAGGGTAACGGCCCCTTGGATCGTGATAGAAAAATTGCTTAAAGACAAGTGTTCGGGATGCAAGGTGCTGCATGAGGCCAGCACGTCAAAATGAATAGAAGATACATAAAATGATCAAATGCACAGCTATCAAATGCACAAAACACAAGGAACTCAGTGCGCATTGATTCCTTCACTCAATAGTGATCTTAGCAAACTAGGTCTTTCTTAAGATGCATCATATTGGTGGGGACAAACCATTGCAGTTTAGATCTTCAATGAGGAATTCCTGGGAAATGCGAACCACCAGCTCGTGCGTCCCTATTTTTCTGATGTTATAATTCTCGAAAACCAAACAACCCATAAGATCTATGGGCCATGTGCCCCCCAAAAGACTAGGAACCTTTGACCCGAAAATCCATGAACTTAGGCCCCAAAAACCTATAAGTCTTAAAACCACGAATCTACGGGCCTTAAACATCCTTAAACACTGAAATTTATAAGCCTTATCCGTCCAAAACGCAAGCGGGAAACCCGGAGGTTTTGCGTTGTGAGCGTTCGGCACTGACGTTTGGGGCACAGTTTTTAACACTTCTTGCACAAACGAACACACAAACAATACAGGCAAAATCAAAAAACAAAACACGAGAAAAACGTAGACCACTTTTGAAACTACTTTCAGGCCACCTCTCTCCAGCCACCACTGGGTTACGGACATATGCCTCATAGACATATCCCCAACTGAACAAATCAAAGCGCTCTCCGCTATCTTTCGTGTTCCCTGCAATCGTCTCAAGTTCATTTCGGCGCACCGGACCTTTCATCTACTTTGACTCAAGGTTACATTCTATGTGGGGCGGGGTCGTGCCTACGGGACCATTCTTTTCACCAGGGTGTGAAAACAAATTCCGCCGGGAAGTTAACGAACATCAGTTCACCAGGGTAAACTGAACCATGCCTGTTTTTCTTTAAACTTCTGGTTGGACAGGTTCCTTCTTTCCATGGTTTAGCCAAGAAAGTGCCAACTTGAAGATAGTTTGCTGCAAAACCTGCAAAATGCCGCAATGCCTTGTCTTTCTGGAACGTCTACGGTAACACCCTTCATTCATTTGTCTCCCATCCATCATTGCGACCGTATAATGTATTGTAGGTATTGTACTAGTTGTAATTTTAATGGTACTGGCAAGATAGGGATGGGTCAAAGCCTATTGTTACATATTGTTACTGTATTTGAGGGGATGAACATCCCTTTACGAACTATTTTACGGTTCACCAGAGTACCGGGGTTTTGACTCATACCCAGATAGTGGAAGTGGAAATAGTAGTACTTGCAATAGACCATCGGCGCTGTTCTTCCCACGCCTGCGCCCAGATCGTCCACAAATGGCCTACCTGACATCCACCCCCAAAATCAAAATCTCAGTTTAATAGTAGGGTGATGGGATTATACCTGTTCCATAGTTTGTAGAAGGAATCATACGGTTACTTGCACCCTCGGATAGGTGGGACACACGGCTTGATCACCAGGCTTGCAGAAGATTCAACGTTTGAAACGCAGCATCAATTTGCTGCGGGGGTCCGAGTTCCACGACTTGCTCGAATAGTGCCTTCCAGTTGCACGGTGATCATTCATGTGGTGGGGATGTGTGCTGTGGCCGCAATTGCCGCCAAAGCAGCTTCACCGCAGTGCGAAACATGGCTTGCATTGGCAGCCAAGCCTGTCGGCGCGCCTCTGTGTCGTTGGCCGGGGACCTGTTTGTTGGTGACACCGACGGTTCTACGAGCGGAACCAATCCCTTCGCAGGCCGCCTGGCGAATTTCCACTTCACGACTGCAGGAAACCACTGCGTTCAAACGCTAGGCGGGGGGACTGGTGTTGCCCAGTCAGCCCTAAGAGACGCAACCCTGACATTTGAACAACCTAGCAACGTTCGCATGCTTTGCCAGCAAGGACAAACACCCTGCCCGGGAGTCAAAGTCCTGCTGCCCCGTGGGTCATGTTTTCACGTCAACTGTGATGCGGAGTCTTGTGAGGATTTCGAAGTGTTGCCGCTGGTTGATGGAGAAACTGACTTCCGCTGTTATTGCAATTACAATGGGGGCACTTCTTGTGCTTGGACAGACAACTATGACTATTGTGAGACTCTTACAGCAGCAAACAGTTCAAATCCATGTGCCACGGCTCAACTTGATTTGGTTCATTTCGTTTTTTGGGTGCCTCGAGGCACCAGATGGGAACAGCCCCCCCAAAATGGATGGTTTCAGACTTTCAGATTCCAGCGTTACTGAGGTGGCACTGACATTTGCCCTGGGACCTCTCCTGTGTGTATGGATGAGGACATGGGAGGAACTTTCATCAATTGTAGCCTGCTGGATGCGCCTGCGCCGGCATGTGACGGCAGCGTGACGGGTGACCCGCATCTTCGTATCCTGACGGCATTTTCTGTGGCGGGCATGGGTCGAGTTTGATCGCATTGGCTGGGTGAAGTACGAGAGGTTTTGATGGTTCAAGTGCTCGCACCGGCTAAAGCCACAAACGGCGCCGATGATTTCCATGATTTGTTGTAGAGAAAATGTCCATGGCATCCGCACCGACCAATTTCTGTCTTCAGGTACGCTTGACGGGCGACACTATACCCTGATGCAGCAAGGCAACTTTCTGTTGTGGGGTTTCTCAGGTTTCTGGGCGGAATTGGAAACACTTTCATCTTTTCACAGGATGCCCCCGTTGCAAATGGGTTTGCATTTTGCATAGTTTCACCATGTTTCACCCACACAAATATCACAAATGGAGTCATCCACAATGAACGAATCGTTCGCCGAACTATTTGACACTGCACGGAGCTACAGATCTTGCGCACTACGTCGCGACCCAGGTTATGAGATTGATGAGATCGATGCGACTCAGCTGCGCAAACACGGTTTCCAAAGTCTTTGAAGACTGTCTTTCATAGAATTGGATGATGGGATAATTTTAACCGGAAAGCCCTATATTTGATGGTAAAAACATGTAAAAACCATGGTTTCCTGTAGATTTTCCCGTGAAAACCAACCCAATGAGTCTTGAATCCATTGAAGATCATTGCACAATCCTCAGGTCGGCAACTCGAGTTCACCCAGGCGCGAAGCCATGAAATCAATGGGGGAAGCGAACATGTCCCCTGTGTCCCGTTTCGGACCTATCATGACATATCCATGTGAGCTCGCTGGGTGCATGCAGCTTTCAGTTCATAGGGACACTTTAGGAGCTGGGATGAGGAAACTTTCAGAAGATGGCCAGTTGCAATTTGTGTTTGGTATAGGGTCTTTAGCAAGCTTGGCAGTGTTCAAGTTCCAATCTACGCCTCCCTCCATTGAACCATGCTGAAGGAAATTACCAGTGGACTTTGAAATCTTCACCCACTATGCAGGTGACAGGCTCAGTTTTTCCAACCCCAACAGTTTGGTGTGTCAGATTTCAGCCGTCGGAGGAGATTCCAAAGTCAGCATGCAATGTGTCGCCGTGGCCAGCTGGCAGTCAACTCACAGTGTCGCATGGGACTTAGGCCATGCTTCCTTCACCAAAGGTTTTCTTCTTGTGGAAGCTTGGTGGTTTATGGTGGCGACTTAAGCACTCTAAGACTTGTTTTTACGGGCGTGCCGCAACACTCATAGAGATATAGTCCGAAATCCATGGGTCAGCAGAAGTGCACAACATGGTAGGTTATTAGTCACTTTGATCGCCAGGGCGTGGTTGGGTTGCTGTGTCGTTTTGCAAACGTCCTCAGAGTGTTAAGAACTTAGTCATCAGACAAGCAGTGACAAGCAGGTCACTCAACCCATAGATGAACCAACCGTGAGCCAATCAGTCCGGCTGCAAAGGAACCTGTCCATCAGGCAAGCGGTCAGTCAGTCAACCAACCAGTTAATCAATGAAACCAGATCCAAGCAAAGAATCTTTCAAACACTGCACTAGTGGCCTGGCGAATCAATTACACAATGATTTTCTGCAGCAACGGAGTACAGTACTTGGGCCCAGGGTGTTCCTTGGATCATTTTTGTGCGTGGTGCATCAAGCAATGAGTCAGCCGGCAGCCAACTTGCTCAAGCATCCAAGCAATCGACCAATCAATCACTTTATCAATGGTCACTGAGCCAGAAAAAATAATTTTACTATTCACTCAAGGATTCAATTTCGACCGATCAACCACCTAATCACCACCCCCAGCTGGTTTGAGCAAGGTTACAACAACTTCACCAGGACCTCCCATAAATGATTCTGCCTGCGAGAGGTATGAGGAAATTCACCCGGAAACAAGGGTGGTTCAACCGGTGGTTCTTTGGAAGTGAGCGGGGCTAGCAGCTTTGAGAATGCTTGGGAATCCTTGGGAACTATTCATTTTTGTTTTGAAATTGAGCCAGATCCCTCAGGACAAGTCGAGGAAACCGAGCCAAGTCACTTGGTCTAGCAGTTGGCCAATACACGGCCAAGAAATTCTCCATGATCGGAGGAACTCCTTTCAAGAAAACTCAACAGCACTCTAGACCTCGAGTTCTTCTTTTTGGCGGCCTTAAAAGCATGACATTTTCGACGACGTTTCTGCTTGCCAGCCAGTGTCTCTCACCATTTTTTCAGGCCCTGGAAGTGACTGCCAAAGATTGTCTCTGGCATCATTGGGACACCTCCGCTTGGCGTCCCGTGGATTCAGCGCGCTTGACGCTCGTGCTGTTGTGCCACCTATCCCAACACAGAGGAAGATTCCCTGCATTTTAAATAGATCATGGAAGTTTTCCTCGAATCCAAGGCAAGTTTTGATTGTTGAAGTTGGGGTCTGTGAGCGAAACAGTACAAACGTTTTGAGTCTTGAGTCTCAAGTGATTGGTTTTTTTTTCCGTTTTTTTTGGCCGTGGGCCATTCCGAACAGCAAACACATTTGAAACGTGAAATTGGCAAGGTTCAGTACCTATTCCAAAATGATTGATAACTTATAACTATTCTCTTGATCAGCTCAGCAAGCAGAGCCGCAAAACTACCAAAGATCTTTTCACCTTAGAATATGTAAGGAAAATGGATTCTTTCATCTCTCCCGATGTCAGGAACATGGCAGATTCAGACGGAATTCAGTTTGGCTCCTTTGAGTTGGCCAAATCCAAAGGGGGGCGAAAACTGACGCTTCTCGGCTCCGATTATTGTCACGCCAACGCAAGGCATTGGAGCATTGGATGGAGGCCCGAATTTTTCTTCGCCCCAAAGTTAAAGAACAAAAGCACAACAGCTGCACGTACCAGAGTCTTGACTGTATTGACTTTCTTGACTTTCTTGACTTTGGACTTGCCTTCAATTTCTGGGCCGGAGTTGGTACGCTCCCTTGCTGTCACCTCATGCCCCAAGGCTATTGATCAGCCACAAAGGAATGGTCAGGACTTTGGCGCAGCTGTGGGTGAATTGCCGACCAGGTGCGCAGGGGCAAACCTTTGGGATGGTGGGAAATTCACCAACCCGAAGATCCACCAGATTGTCGGTGGCAACAAAAATCACGTGGATTCTACTCACAGCTGCAAGATGGCATGGGTTGGCGATTGTGAATGGGTCAGTGACAAACCGACCCTTTTTCAATCCTGCATGTTTCAAAGGTGGCAGACCCTTGGTTATTTTGGTTTCTTAGGGCCGTTTAGGGCTGAAACGAGACATGGGTGAGGTCATCAACTGTCTGCGAAGATCAAGATGTCTTCGCCGAAAGATCTGCATTTCGTCCGTGGGGAGCTGGCACCGGGGCGTTTGAGTTTGGCCACAGGTCAGTATGGGGAGGGGAGGGGGTCCTGAGGGGGTCCTGAGGGGGTTGAGGCCGGTTGAGGCAGTAAGAATCATTGTTTTTTTGGCGCATGGCAAAGTTGAGTTAATCTTTGGAAGCTGTAAATCATTGCGGGGAGAACAATGGCCATTTGTGTTTGTTGATTGTCAGTCCCTGGCCTCAAACATCGAGCAAACGTACGTGGGGCAAGTGTCCATTGGCCAAGCCAGCGAAGCAAGTTCACCATGCCCAGTGTTTTTTTGGTTCATTGCACCATTCAGGTTTTGTTGTTTCAATTTCCCATTCATCTTGGCTTCACAGCTTCATTGAAAGTATTAAAGCCCTCATCTCGTGGACGATGGATGACTTGCAAATCATCTTGCGGAGGTTTGGGTGGTGAAGTCAATGGCATGTCTACCGATGCTGAGCCTCCTGGCGGATGAAGTAACCGAGAAGTAGGGCTTCGTTGGATCTCGGGTTTCGAAACTCACAAGATCTCACAGGTTCTGTAAAAACTGTAAAAGGATCCAATCCGGGGATCCTGCGATTTCTAGGAACTAGGGCCCCTCTGGGAACTTGCCGGATGTGCAAAAACTTAGGGGGACTCAAAAGATCTCAAGGGCCACAAGAAGCCACACAACTTCTAGGATTTCTTCAAGGAACTCGCAAGATATCCTGTAAACGAGCTCACAGGATCTGCAACGATCCTTGGGGACCAAGATTTCTGTCGGCTCTCACAAGGATCCATTAAATCAACTAAGAGTATATATATATAATCCAGGACCCTTTATATTAAGGGAACAAGATCTCTGAACTTGCGATTCACAACATCTCTGTCAAGTGCAGGAAACGGACTGTTTCAATGAATACGCAGGATATGCTTCACAAGGATCCCTTGAAAGAATTGACGGGATCCCTACAACAGTTCTTTACAAGAATTCACAAGGATTTCTACATTGGGACCTCTGTGAGTTAACTAAATGAGCAGTGCACCACAACCAGAGCAATCCAACAAGCACAAAGCACGGAGAAGGTATCACAATGAGCAGAGGATCACGCGAACGAAGATTTGAATTCCACCAAGTGTGTCGCAGAAAGTGATTTTGCACAGTCTGAGACGAAGTGTTTCGACGCCTAGGTTTTGAACACTTTTTCATCGAGACCTTTCACCTGTTGCGCTGGCCACAAAAAATTAGCTTGAGGCATCCGAAGTGTTGCGCCTGCCACCAGGTGATGAAATCCAAAAGCAACGACATTTTCAGAAAACTTCACCAGGTATATATTGCGCTCTTATTTTGACCCAGGCTTGCCAACATGCAAAGCACACCAGATATTTGCGCCTGCTGCGCGGATGAATAAGTGTCCGAAGTCTTACGTGTAGGACAAAAGGAGGTTCTGATCCCCCCAAAATCCAAATCTTTGGCCTCTCAGACAAAACGCACATAGCTCCGAAAGCGGACACGGCGCACCAGTAAAAGTACAGCTGCAAGTGAGAGCAAAGTGTGATATTCACTTTGTCCGAACCTGCGTAGTCAAATTGAACATCGGAGTCTCAGACGGAATTTTGGCGTGAGCCTCTTCAGACATCAAACCCGTTGTACATGTGGACTGAATGGGACTTTGTGGGTTTATAGAATTCCCAGTTTCAACGAAATTTCTGGACTGTTACATCATGTTACATCCAGATTTGACCAAGGTCAATACTCATGCTTCTTGTGTGTCTTTTGCACGGGTTTTTCCGCTTTATTTGGAAGCCAACTGTCAGATGCCTCGAAGCTCCCTAGGTTTGCTGTGACATCCGACTGGGCTGCCCTGGGAGGAAGCCCTGCTGCTGCATCGTATTTCAAGATGGTCGATACCACAGGACTGCGGCTTCGCCCGTGGTGGACTGTGAACTTGCTTACCTTTTTAGTAAAGGGGCAAATTTCGTACTAGATGTAGCTAGATGTAGCTAACTGTGTCATCAAAATGGATGATGTGGAGTTTGGCACTAGGTTGACCTGTTTTCTTTTTGTGCTGTACCGATTTTGCGTGATTTTAAGTAGCTTTGACTAGCCCAATTCTGCGCAGACAGTGAGTCTCTTGGTGTGTTTCCTTTCTTAGCGCGATCTTACCTTGCAATGCGATGGTTGCTTACAATTTTCATGAAATTTTCTCCAGGGAAGATTTTGCTGTGATCTCCTTTCATTTTTTCATGATTCGTCATGAATTGTCTATTTCAAGATCAACAAGTCCATTTCAATAAGACCATGACCACATGACCAGTTCATCTTGCAGAAATTTCCTCCTTTTTCGTATTTCTCCTGGGAAGTCCCGGAAAAATCGAACCACATTTTGGCGCTCTATGTGCAATTTTTGGCCAGCCAAAAAGGATCAGGTTCCAGGTGCCAAAAACTTGATCTTTTTGCCATGGAACTGCTGATTCGATTTTGATCAGCGTCCAGTCCTTGTCAGTTCTGGTGTCAGTCTTTTTTGCTGCGGTGAAAGATATTTCCATTTTGTTTTGGGTTTACCGGAAGATTTTCTATTTTAGGATGTACTTCGTGATGAACTGATTCTAGACATCTGGGTTGCTGTCGCAGTGATGTAACTTGGACCGCTGGAAGTCTCTTTGTATAGCTGGCTGGTTCATCTTTGTTTTACTACGTTGCCAAGTTGGGCCTTTCCACAAACTTTGGAGTTTCGATGAGTTTCGTCTGACATGTCGCCGGCTCCTTGAAAGGACGGGGGCTCAATCTCATGGAGTGCTCACAAGAAGATAAGGAGAAGCATGCCAAGACTTGCAGGAAGTATCTGGGAGATTCCACAGATGCCTTGCACAAAGAGGTCATGGACGATTGCATTTTCGATCTCTGCAGTGGTGGCGGAGAGACTTCCGCGGAACTGGCTGCGGAGATTTTGCGCGCCGAGTGAGGCCATTCCAGTCGAGATGGCGCATTTGTGTTGCCTGGAGCTCCTGTTTTAAGACGGGCAAAGAGACTGAGGACACCCCAGCGATTGCATTTTGCCCTATTTGAAGAGCGATTTACGTTGAGAGTAGGGCTTATTATATACATACATATGCAAAATTCCTTGCTGCAATGTCAGCGCTCATCACGGGACTTTGGAAGGCAAAAAGTGGAAGTAATTCCAGGAGACAACTGCTCCTGTAGTTGGCAGAGCGAGGTTGGCTTAATTAAACCCTGTTGGTAGAGGTACTTTGTGGTTTTCCTTGCTGCTGGCTGGCTGTTTTCATTTTATGGCATGTTATGTTTGCATGCATAGGTGGCGGATCATTGCTTTAAGTGTTGCTGCTTCCACAGCCCCGGGGTATGGGTCAACATTGCAGGAACGGCAGAGATGAAGCGGCATGGAATGGGATACCCTATTTTCAGACAAAGTCATGTAATTCAGCCAGGTGTAGATGGTACCTCCTACTACCGTGCAGATGGTGTTGGAGAGCTGCAGATCTTTGATCTTTTGATATCTTTATATATTTCTTAAGTGCAGATCAATCTGAGGTTCTACTAAATTCTACCAATAATATTATTTGATACTTTTGATCCTACAGTCTAAGCAGAAGACGGGCAACAATCACAGAGCCACAGAAGAGAGCCACGAAAATGGCCGAAAAGAGAGGCACCAACTTGACACAAATTATTGTGGATTCTAGTTAAACTTTCCTTGGGAAAGTCACTGGATTAATTATGTGTTGATATAAAATTATATACCCTCTGGTAAACTAACATAGCTGTAGAAAATCACCATCCTGAATAGGTAAATCAACTATAAAGGTGCCATTTTCAATAGCTATTTTGACATCACCAGGCCGGGTAACTCAACATCGGGGAAAGTTGGATTGCATCGGCAACATCTTGGCCGACAGCGCAAGGTGATTTGATGGAAACAACTATTTGCACCATTTTGCACCTATGTTGACATGTAATCCCAACTACAACTACAATCCCACAGCAGTTTTATGGACCTTTTTACTGAAAAACCATCAGTCCTTAATTCTATGGAACCTATTTTTGCGGCCCGTCTGCGCCCATGAACATCACCTGGGATGGAGCTTCACAGGGAAGGCACGCCCGTTTTTTTGCGGGCCAGCTTACAAAACAACGGGCCTGGCCCGGCCTGGAAAACTCATGCTTGGGGTTGCTATTGGTTACAATTACTTGATAATCACATATAATCATCAGTAAGGATAATTCACCACTAGTAGTAAACATATGGGTTACCGTATTACAGTTACTATTGATGTTGGTGAATTACTATTGATGTTGGGTATTACTGATAATTCACCAACATCACTCTGATTTTGGATGAGGACTGAGGCGGCAAGGGGACGCCTCGGAGGCTTTGATCACGTTTTTTTTTTTTCGATGGCCGATCTACCCATTGACTTGCTGATGATTTGCCGATGATTTACCTGTGTTTCACATGGTGATTTGATGGCACCTTTCCATGGAAAAATTACCCGGTCGACTTCAGGGTACAACCATCTCATCGTTTCTCTTCTAAAAATCCATGATTTCTCAGATTGTAATTCCATAGCTTTTTGATGGTTACCCACGGCCATTAACTGGGTTGTTAAATCACAGCCACCCAAAATGCAGCGCGACGCTTTCCCGCTTTCCGCCAGGCAGATGTCGGGTCCCTCAGAGCTCTCAGCGGTGATGGATGAGTGGATAAGACCTGCATAAAGCAATCGGTCAATCGACTGGTATTTGAGATGGTTAACTAAAATGATCATTAGTAGCAATGGTGATTAATGATCATTAATGATGATTTTCATGGTAACTCATGATTATGAATGGTGATGAATGAATGGAACATGATCTACAAATCTAGGTCAATCGACTGGATGGGTAGAAACTAATCCAATTCATAGTCTTTTGGTACCAATGGGATCATCTACGTTCATCAGATAAGTCACATGACTCGCTGGAAAATCCCTTATGGAAAGATGATTTTCCCAGCTGTAAACCTTTTTTTGTTTTGGGGATTTCCCATTGCCACATTTGATTACTCAAGGGTATTTTGAGTTTGTAGATGACTTCTTAGATTTTATTTTATCATCTTAAAGTTTGATTTTAACTGTTGTTCTAGGATCATCATTTCTTCATATATTGTATAATGTATACATTTTTCTGCATATGGTATCATATGGTATCATCATATGGTATCATAGGGCATCATTTGGTAAGTTATGGTACGTATATGTACCCATTGTATATCGCATATCATTGATTATTGTACAATGATATAGTATTTATAATTGTTTATAGCATTGATTAATATTGATTATGATATAATATGATATATTAATTATGCTATATCTATATGATGGTTTCCTGAAATAGGGGTACCCCTAAATCATCCATTTTAATAGGATGTTTCATTATAAGCCTTCTATTTTGGGGTACCCCGATTTATGGAACCCCCAATATAATGATATATTTGATAATTGTATAGAGGTATAATGCTGTAATGATATCAACTTAGAGGTATGATATAGTATATCTACCCTCTGGTAAATAAACATCGACCCTGGCAGTTGTCGGGGTTGGAAGACTAGTTTCCATTAAACATGGGTGATTTTCAGGGTCAACATGTTTATTTTCAGGGTCTGCTATATCTTATGAAAGGTTTATGTCTACTTGGTCATCCTCAGCCTTGGGGAGAACATTCACCAAACGGGGGGGAAGCATTCCTGAGCCTTGACGAGGAGATCAATTTGATTCACGAAAACCATTTGTTTGGCTAAAAAATCCGTTTGGCGCAAAGAAAAACATCGATCTTGTTTTGGTAATACCATTTTTTACCATCTGGTTTTTTCTCGGATTGAAGCCACTTCAATTGATGCTTTCCGTTGGTACACATCGCATTTTCGTTGCTCTCATCCGTTTTTCAACCGCCCAATCTCCCAGATTCCCGCTTCAAAGCAATCCCAAAATGGGATCAATGATGTGATCCATCTCCAAAACCCGTCTTTCACTTTTGCGAAAAGTTGAAAACTGGAAAGTTAACTCTTGGTGATCCATTGTTTGCTTTTTTTAAGCCACATAGGACTAGATTAAACTAGCATTTGGTTCATGAAATATTCCATTCGTCATCCCATTCGTCATCCATTTCTGAGGCGCGTCCTGGCCGCCTCCGATGTTCCCTTCGGCTGGGCGCCAAAGCCTCCCAGTCCCAGCCAGCGGACCTGGGGGCAGCCGAGCCGCTTGATGGTTAGATCTGGTTGTATGGAGGTGTCCAGGAAATGGGGGTGCCCCAAAATCATCCAAGTTATTCCTCATTGTATATAAGTGGGAAAAGCAATGGTTTGGGGACCCATCTTTTAGGACATACAGATCATGTCTACTGATGATTTAGATAGTTAGATATATTTAGATGATCTGCACGCGTTTAGTGATCATTAGCAAAAACATGTATACAATGTATTCAGATGATTTCTAGATGATCTTGACATTTTGGAGCTTGTGATTTTTTCAGCGGGATCCTGTTTGATTCGAGGGTGCGCCTTTGGCTCTGTCCCCCATCAAACAGGATCATCAATGGAAGACTATCTATGACTTATGACACCACATTACTTGCTGAAACCATTTGACTTTGAAGCTTGGAGTGTCATAATTTGACATTTATCCCGCAATTAGAATTTATTGTTGGGGTTCACAAACCCAAGCCATCATCCAGTTCTTGATTTGCCACATCGATACCTTCAGTTAAAAAAGCGTCTTAATAGTAGAACACTACCCATGGCCCAATCAAGAAAAACATTGCGAAACAAGCTTGGTTTTGTAGATGATGTGCCGATTGAATTCTGGGGCATTCCAAGCCAAGCTAGATCATTCATTGGATCTATATATCTTATTCCCATTCATCCATGTATGCTCTTCCCACTCACCATTTTGATTTAATTCATGAACATATACCCCTTGTTGATCCTCAGACCACCAGGTTTGAAGCTCAAATCACAGATGTTTGATTCTTGAGTCTCCATGTTTCATCCTTAAAGACTCAAGTGACTCAAGATCTGCACGAAAAATCAGCAGTTAAACAGTTAAACAGTTAAACAGTTAAACCCTCATTTTTCATCATTTTTCATGCTTAACCTCTTAACCTTTCCAAGGTTTGATGCTCAAATCTCCCCCCACTGAGGTGCACCTGGCACCGGCCACACCGGCCACAGCGGCCACAGCGGCCACACCGGCCACACCGGCCACAGCGGCCACACCGGCCACAGCGGCCACACCGGCCACACCGGCCACCGGCCACGTCCCAGCAGCCGTGGGGCGCCGCCCAAGCTGTCGGCGGCGTGGGCCAATGGAACTGCCAACGGCCCCAGGCTTCGGGGACTTGGAAGGTGGCTTTGAAGTAGGTTAACCAGGGTTACCCGGCCTGGTAAACGTTAACAAAAAACTATGGAAAGATCCACCATCTTGAAGTTCGGTAAATCAACTATTTCGATTGGGCTATTTTCAATAGCCATGTAACAAATTACCAGAGGGTAACCAGGGTTTATGGTAGATATATCATGATATATCCAGGGTATTCCAGGTGTTTTCACCAACTTAGCTAAGGTGATGCCAACGTTCTGTTTGTTGGTTTTCTAAGAAACTGTTGGTTTTCATCACCTTGGAGACCGTGACACCATGGGCCATGGGGAGTTGGGATGCTCAGGGAGGCCACATATTGCGGCTAGTAGAACTGAATTTGGTTTGCCATTTTCATGGTGATACCCTCTGGTAAACATACAAAAAGCTATTGAGCATGGCCATTTATAGTGGATTTACCCATTCCATAGTTTTTTGTTAACGTTTACCAGAGGGTAGATTTTAAACTGCTAAAAAAATGATTTTGTGGATGATTTTTGAGATTGGTGATGGTGATAGGGAGTTTTATCTAACATGATTTGACTGCCAAAT